CTCATTTACAAACTCTGCGAGATGCACTTCATTGCCAGAGGAAAGACTATTCTTTTTCACTTGATCCGTCCATTTTTTTTTTTGCGGAGTCTAAAGTTTATTACTCGACAGCCAAGAAGTCGGAACGTGCTATATACTCGTATACGTACCATGAGGGGCGCTTAGCTATCGTCAAACCATCGGCTATGAAAACAGCTTGGGGGTCGTTCACGCAATCGAAAGAAACAACTGTTAACCGATATTTTCATTGACAATATTTAAACAATGACAGTCAATAATGAATGTTTAAAATAAACATCATTCGTGAAATCGACACCTTTAAACCTGACACTGAGCTACTTGTGCACTTCTGGTCATTCGTGGTCAAAGGTCAGACCCTTTGACCTTTGTTTCCATTGGCACTCCATGAATCACACATAATTGAAAAGGGTGTGAAGAGATTTTAAAATCTCTTCAATGACACCTCATTCATCTCTTCAAGTTAATTAGAACAAAAGTCATGGGCATTTAAGCGATGACGACTTGAGATTAGGGATGTTACAGATAATTTATCGAGCCGATAAAAAAATAAGATATTTGTCTATATCAGTTTCATCGAAAAACCGATACGACTATCCCACCATTGAGCCGATATCAGAGGTTCCCTTTTAAACGTCGGTTTTTGCAATGTCTGAATCAACTAGAACAGAGGGTAGGCACGGGGGATGCTCCGGAAGAAAAAGCCAAGAATCCAACTGCAAAACCCTTCCGATTTTAAACGTATTTTCAATTTTCCCACATTGGTGCAGTTAGCCCCATGGTGAGTGGAAGGAGGTGTGAATATCCAAAGAAACGGAAAACCACGGGAGAGACGCTCTGGGAGGGATATGCGCGATAGTTACTACAACTCGGTGAGAACGGAACAGTCTAGCACCAGGTGTGTGCATGCGCGATCGTTCCTGCGGGAAATTTCACGATGATCAGGCACGAGTGCCAAATCAGGTCGAGCGAGCGAAAATATATCCTGCATTACTCGAGGGGCCGTTCGCAAATTGCGTAACACAAAGGGGAGGGGGTAATCAGACAAAGTGCTATGATTTGTTAAGCGGGGGTGGGGAAGGTAGGTTGCAAGAATGAAATGTAACAGATTTTTTTAATTAAAAATAATATATTATGCAACTGGAATTTCATATTAGAAGGGTAATTGTTCAGTTACAAATCACTCACACGACTCAGAGCCAACACTACTACTCACCCGCACTTAAAATGGTGTTCTATGGCTTTGCTTTCGTCTCGTGTGCCTCGCGCAGGTCTGCAACACTCGCCGTTCCACATTGGAACTTTCGCACCAACTCGTAAACATTGCTTCTTTCAATACATTTTTCGTAAACTGCCTTGAGCTAGTGAAAAATTGAATTGCCATTCATGCCATCTTCGATCAAAAAACAGATCACAAAACGCGACTCTTCCTTGGTGCAATTAAGACCCATATTCGCCATTTTTCGTAACTGAAGGAGGCACACGAGACGACAGCAAAGCCAAAGACCACTGTTTTCATGGCGCTGATATTCTAACAAGCAGTAGTATGTGCGTTGCTACTTATATATCCTACGTTACGATCGTAGACGTCCGGTTTCTTTTTGACACACCCTCGTACTTTGGCGGGCATTGATTAGAAAAAAAATCCATTTTCGAGCGTTACCGAAGCGGACGACATTCTTGCGGGTCCCTGATATACGTCATCGAAGTCGCTAATGCATATTAGGAAGGGTTAATGTCAATTACCTAATGTAACTATAAATTTCTTTGTGAAATGCCACACTTTAAAGCTCCTTTAGCTAATACAACTTTTATACTAATGCTAGCATTAGTTTCATGCAATCCACCCATACTCTCTATGGTGTTACGTTGAGAGATCCCTTTCGGTCGAATCCCCGAACGAGTCGATTCCCGATTCCACTGAGACGAAGCACGCCAAGCAAGCCTCACGGAAGTGTTGTTGATAACAAGCCAGTCTCTGTAATATTTCGACTCTTCCCTACTCCTCGGAGTGTCGCCTCTGGCTATACTCTCTACTCTATGATCTTAGTCTTCTCAGGATGACCGCCGCTCAAGACTCACATATGGGTTGGTGGGAAAGTTCTGTCGTTTTTGTTTATGTACTATTGTACTTATCTCCCAAACGCGAATACGGCTGGTGATGAAATCCTTTTATACTCTAATCCACAAAGATAAAAACAAAACAATCGATGATTCATCACTAGCCGTATTCGTATTTGGGAGATAAGTACAATTGTACATAAGCAAAAGCGACAGAACTTTCCCACAAACCCAATACATATCTACCTCCTTTCCTCTACCGCTTCAATGCTTACTGCTCGCTTTTGCCGTAACCCGTTAAAGCCAACTAATAAACATTCCCTTGGTTGCGAACAGCATCAACTTTCTTCGGACAATCCACAATCTCTTATCAGTATCATCTAAGTGTTTGGTGTGAGCACTTTCGTTGCTCTGACTAAGATTGATTTCTAAAGGACAGTTTGGTTGCAGTTCGATTTCAGTTCAGTTCCAGTTGGGTTTTTCGTTCGAGAATAGTCGAAATGTGCCATTTGAACCCCAGTCAGACCACAGTTGCGGGAGTCTGTGTTGACTCCCCGTCCAATCATAGTCAATCTTTAGTCTGACTATGGTTCCAACCAATTTCTATGTCTGAAGCCTCTCTTCCCTCGTGGCGCCTGGAGAACTCAAGTCAGACCTACCCTGAGGCAACTGTCTCGATGGGAAGGGCAAGATAATAAATATGTCTTGATTTCTTCTTGAGTTGAAGTTGGTGCTACTTCATTTTCCTTGCCACGTCACGGTGGAACAAGGACACTGCTTGCATTTGCCATTCGCAAACCGTGGCTATGAAGCACCCCGCATGCGATTAAGTCCTAAAGCGGCTACGTATGCAGCGAAATACATGCCCAATGACGAACTGAATCATAAATATTACACCGATCTGTGGCTGGCGTCGAATCGTTTCGATTCATTTATATCAATAACGTACAAGTTAGTTAAGAATGGGCCAACGAGAAGTCGGAAAACTGACTGCGGTTGAACAGAAAAGAAACTGAAGCGAGTGGCAAATGCAGTCTTACCATAGTCCAACTACAAACAGGAACTGGAGAATTTCAAAATCTCAGTCCGTTCAAAGTCCAGTCGTAGTTCCAGTCGACTGCAACTGCAATCAAACTGGGACCATCTTAGGACTATAGTTCAACTGCAACTGAACTGTGGCTTTGAAATCAACCTAGGCCTAAATGCTGAAAACTCATTTTAGCGAGATAAAGGGCCATTAAGCTAGAGATCTATTTTTTCCTCGTAGGAGTCCATGATTTCGTTTTTAGGACAATTAACTAACATCATTCAGGCATCATTATTTTGTCTTAATATGACCAAAGATGGGATAGGGTGGGGGGGGGGGGGAATCAGCTCTGCTGGACTAATACTGTATATTCTGGTTTAGGCACAAGAGGAAATGCTATGCTAACTTTCACTTCCATCTGTTAATAGTCCCTCCACACACAATTCCCTTCCTTTTCCATAAGCTACCTAGGTATATAGGTTAGCCTCAAACATGCACAATCAGTACGATTTCCAGTCCCACTGGATAATGAAACTGGACTCCTGGCAGCAGTGGCGTAACGTCGGTGGGGCAAGGGGGCGCGTGCCTTTCAAGAAAATAAGTAAAAGACCCTGAAATGCATGATAATATTCAACGCCGTACCGAGGATATTTGGTGCCCTGTGCGAGATATACACCCAGCGCCTCCCCCCACCCCCTCCCCCTCTTATATTTACATTTTTAATTCCGGATAATTTGGAGGTTTTTTGCATACGTTTTATTCATATTTTGTACCGATTTGGCAGACAATCGGCGCACCGCTGGCAGCCCCGTCGGCACGGCTCTGCCCTTCACTCCCCAGTCTCCCCATTATCTTCTTTCCTGTTTGATCCTTACCCTAATCCCCTCTTCCTTCCGCGCGTTCCCTTGCGGTTCCTTCGTTCCAACTTTCGGTTTCCATTTCCTAATTAATTACACCAGTATTTTGAGAACATTCTGAGAGCGAAGGCCTTGTTTTTGTGTTTCCTTTTAAGAGAAGAAAAGCATTCAGTGGGAGCTTTGGGAGGGTCGGTTCAAATTCCATTAATTTCGATTGATCTTTATTATTGTGATTATAAATTTAATCGATTGATGAAACTAGTCAATTGACAGACCTCGAATAAGGTGACTTCTTACATGTTCAAAAAAAATTTATATTTCTATTAGATGTACACAAAGGTTAGAAGAACATCCACCCACCGACGTAATCGTATTCGCGACTGGTTGATCCTAGCGCAAAGGAGTTTCCCCCATGAATGCGGTTAACCCCCCACTCCCACCTACACTAGTCCTAGCCCCCTACCTAAAGCGGTTTAATTTTTAACAAGTACTGGAATTTTTCGATCAGACCTCGTACATGGTGAAAATATATGGACTTGGGCCACATTCCACATGGATAAGCAAATCATTATTTATGTTTTGGCAAGAATACGAAATATATATACCTGACTGCGATGTAGTCAACATCCAGGGTAAAACTTCTTAGGGATTGTCAGATTCTGCTGGTGCTTGACAGGTTCATTGGCCTAAAAGGTTTTCCAGGAATCCTAAGTGAAAGATCTGGTGATTGTGGAGGACATGTGCAAGAGAAATTTGGTAGAGGTCGTTCAAGTAGCTGGTAGAAGTAGTTGATTACATATCAAACATTACAATAGCAACTTCGCATCCCTGAGGATATGGGCAATACATGATCCTTTCAGATGACACAACGTTGGCACGATATGCAGAAATAAATCTCCATTCTTTGGAGTCTATGGAGGAAATATACCACTGAAATCGTCCATGTACACCAACTGATTAATGGGCTGATGTATATGTTTTCATCACCTTCTAAAGGAAAAGCCAACACCAGGAGATGATGCAATATAATGAGAGGCTTATTTAATACTGTTATTGAACACAAGGATTTGCTTCGGACAAGTAGTGTTCCCAGATGACATCGTCTTTTTTATGGCATCTTTGTACATATCAATGTGAACTATTTCATGGACTGGTGGAACCAGGCTACCTTTACGCACCATGTCCACGAGACATTCCATCGTGTCCCGTCTCTCTTTGCTATCATCATTAGCTCGATTCCATCTAGACATCCAAAAGCCATGAAAATTAGCATTCTGAAATATAAGAGCCGACACGGGGACAACAAGAGGTTGTTTGCTCATACCTCCATATGTGATTAGAGTTGGATTGTGATCCATTTTACGCAGCATATTAGCGCCACTCTTTCCAGCAACACAATCGAAGCCCAATAATGGCAGCTTCAACCCATTCTTTTCTACATCAAAACTTTTAAGTTCCTCCTCTGTAACCACATGATCAGCACCTAATTCATACAGTTGATCCTTCAAAGATTTTATGTCAGGTCGATCTCTCACAATATTGATGGTTTTCAACCCAAAGTAACGTGCTACTTGAATGACAGCTTGCCCAACACTGCTATTGGCTCCATTCTGTATGATGGAGTCTCCTGGTTTAACATTCACAAAGTCGTGTAAGAGTCTATAAGCTGTGCAAGGGTTTGCAGCCATTGTTGCAGCACTAGCAACAGGTATGTCATTCGCAATTCTTATTAAATCATCTGAGCTGCTGACAACATGACTTCTCCATGTCCCCCATCCATTATTCTTGGGTAAGACCCAATCTCCTACTTTCAAGTTCATAACAGCAGAGCCAACTTGGGAAACCTTCCCAACTCCTTCATTTCCTGGTGTGCTTGGAAGTGATGGTTTTACGCCATACACGCCTTGAATGGTATTGATATCTCCAGGATTGACAGGAGATGCCAACATCTCCACGATTACTTCATGAGGTTGTGGTTTTGCAGGCAAGATGAGTGTTTCCTTCTCTACAACCTTTGTGGGATCTCCATATTTGTAAAAAATGAGCTGGCAAGCAGAAGTCTTATTTGATGAGAACAATCTCATGACTTCCATATTCCGAATCTCGTTGATACGGCTGATAGCTCTTCCGTGACATCCAGACTTAGTCACAAAAGAACTGCTCCTCCAACACTGGAGAATGCAGCGAACTTTAGCTACTGATGCCAACATTCAAGTGAAGCCTCTGTACACTTCAATACCTGTAAAGCATTCAATGGATATAGAACGGACTAATAGGAATATAAGACCATAACGAGGGTGTTCAAGCGGGAAATAAGGCCTGCGAGACAGGAGATCGAAGAACATCTGGCTAGCTATGCCAAGAACTCCACGGCTTTTTACCGGGATGCTAACGGTATGTGCTAATAGTCGATTGGGCCTCTAATGCAGTGTTTCCCAAAGGGTGTGCCACGGCACACTGGTGTGCCGCCAGTAAGGCTTAGTGTGCCGTGAGATTTCGGAGTTGACAAAATAATAAATAATAAAACTAAAAAAAAAAACTTAAAAACAAGAGGGAATGCCATCTCTCAATGGAAAACGAGCTGAAAGTTTCACTCACGCCTTGTATCAAACTGCTGTGTTCAGCGAAGCAAGCACAAGCTTCCCATTCAAAGTAAGGAAATGGCTAAGTGTGCCGTGGAAAGTTCAAGTGTCCTTATGTGTGTCGGAAATGAAAAAAGATTGGGAACCACTGCTCTAATGAACAACAGGGAGTCAATTGTAAGTAATAAAGATATGGCCGGGATACTTAACGAGTTCTTCCTTTCTGTTTTCACTGTCGAATCGGACGAAGCACAGACTTTGGACGAGGTGACCTCGGTGCGCATTGCGGATATTTCCATCATCAAGGAGATCATAAGCATGATATGGATGTCAAAGGTGGGCACAGCAACGGGCCCCGATGGGATTCCTGCTTAAGTCATCAAGGTACTCGTAAGTAAAATATCGGTTCCGATTAGTATCATATTTGAAAGCAGTTTTTCGCGCGGTAAAGTACCTAAGGACTGGAGGCTAGCGAACGTCGTACCGATCTTTAACACGTTGGCGACAAAGCGTCCTGATGCCAGGATGCAGATTTTTTTTTCAATGAATACCATCTGGAACTGTTGAGAACGTTCCAGAAGATTATGATTTCGTAATTACTGATAAAAATTCCAAAAAATTCAACATTTTAAAAAAACTCGGCAAAAAAAATGTTTTCTGGGACCATGCGTCCTGATGGCAGGACGCATTTTTTGACAAAAAAAAATGCGCGTGGTCCCACGCGGCGGACAAGCAAAAATAGGCTGGTCGTCAACGTGTTAAGAAAGGTGAAAGGAGTAATCCGGGGAACTATAGGTCAGTAAGTCTCACAAGTATTCCGGGGAAGATATGAAAGCATCCTAAGGGACCACATATTGGATTTCCTCGAAAGAAACGCGGTCATCTGGGACTCTCAGCACGGCTTTAGGAGGCGTTGAAACTGCTCACCAATTTGCTGGAATTCTACGATGTTGCGACGGATGAGAGAGATTAGGGTAATTCCCTGTTGACATCGTCTATTTAGATTTCGCGAAAGCTTTCAAAACCGTTCCTTACGAGAGGTTGCTACTCAAACTGAAGGAGCATGGGATCCAGGGTATGACCAGCGAGTGGACCAGTAACTGGTTGGCGGAAAGAGAATCAGCGAATAATGGTGAATGGGGAAGTGTCGATGGAGGTCGGGGTCGCAATAGGTGTCCCTCAGGGCTAGGTCCTGGGATCGCTACTGTTTATGGCCTACATCAATGGGCGTGGTAGCGCCCATTACCATTCTTCAACCCCGTTCCGGCGACAAAATTCAACAAAATTCAATTCATTCCTCTCTAAGAGCATCAACACAAACGAAATTTCGCATTCTTCTTCCTTTCTCAACACGAAATCGCTCCAACAAATTTGAAGCTTCATTTCCGCTGCGTTGCGGAGAACACTGAATCTCGCTTTCGGGAGAATGAATTTTCTCCCTCCCCCCTTGGGAAGACTCTCCTGGGAAGTTTTCGGAGGAAAGAGGCCAACCAAACGAAAGATATTGACTTGCAGGTGGCAAAAATTGTCCTTCTCGTTGCTTCCAGTGTCCCATTTCGCCATGAAAAATTAAATTAGTTGCCGTTAATTTATTCTTAGCGTGAGGCTCCAGTCCCGTCCTCCAGTCTTGCCGGATATCGTGCCTTAGTTACCCCAGATTCATGACTTCTTCGACCTTAGTATCGTTCTCTGGATCTAATCTTTTTAATCTAGGAGACATGATTGTGCTAAAATTCAGGGGATGAGCTGAGATTGAAGAGGTGGTTCGCATTGGCCGATGAGTTTGGTTGAATACGGAGATATCCCATCGGATATCCCATAATTATCATGACGCGGCCTGCTCGTATATCATGCTCTAAAGGCAGTTTCTTCTCAGAACGAGTCGAGACGATTTCAGGAACTCTGAAAGGTCCTAATATTCCCCGACCGCACTGAAATGGCTCAGGAAACTCGAAAAAGTCCTACATTAGGTCTAACTTAAAACGTTCTGTTAAATTAGCAATGAGAGACAATAGGCCGGCGGTTTGCCTAACGTTACACGTCCTCAACGAGGTGTCTGGAAGACGAGGGATTGATTGGTCCGTAGGTCGAGGATTGAGTTTCTTTTGAACGAAAAAAGGTAGGCCTAGGCCTACGCCTGACCCGAAGACGGTATGTCGCTTAGGCCTAGGCCTAACGTTACAGAGTTCTGTAACGTTAACACCTTACCCCCTCAACACCTTCCCCCCATAGAGGGGGGAAGGTGTTGAGGTTGAGTTTGAAAAAAGGTAAAACCATTGAAAAAATATATTTCACATTACTACATTAACTATTTAGATCTAAAGTTAGGCGTAGAGGGTGCATAGTGCCAGACTCGAGCGAGATTTGAGGCTTACGGATGAGTGGAGAAGGAAATGGCTTATGAGTTTTAATGAGTGTAAAGGTAAAGTTCTCCACGTCTGTCATAATAACGGTAGGTCTCTCGACGGTTTTGGCGTAGATAAACTAGGGAAGGCAAGCGGAGAGAAAGATTTAGGGGTTTCTATCCACAAAGATCTCAAGTTTTCCTCGCACGCGCAAGCGACGGTGGCTCAATGTAACAAGATCCTAACATCAGCAACACAGTAGTCCCCATTGACACTTCACGGCTGTATCAGCCTATACATGTAAACTTGAAAGCCGCCATGCTCACGGTACATGGCGTCTCTGATGTGAAGGTCAACCCAACTGCCGATCGGTACGCGGTCCGCTCGTTAACCGGCATGATTCGCGTTCAGCCAGCATAATGTACTCGCGCAACTTTTGTTTTATTCATCATCCATCGGGTGCTTTTCAAGATTCAAGATAGTTAGTGATTTCAAGCGGTATTCCTTCGTTATGTGCACAGTACGGACACACCGACTTCGTTTTGCGCACAGTGCTTATATGTGCACAGTCACTGACAGCTTATGTATCAGTTGTCCGTAGGACATGCACCCCACCTCCTAGAG